CAGTGTGTGTGTTACTGGTTTCAGAGTGTAACAGTGTGTGTGTGTTACTGGTTTCAGAGTGTAACAGTGTGTGTGTTACTGGTAATGAAGGAACATCAGTGTGTTTTTAACAGTGTTTGGACAATGGTGGAGCTCTGTGGTGAAATATTTAAACTACTTGTTTTGTCAACCAACTCTGGAGCTACTATGCAAATAATTAACCCAGTATCAAAATAACATTCAGCTCTACATGTTAGAAGGATGGTTGCGTTCATTTACATTACATTATAGTACTCTGCTGTTGTGGCTACGCATTACATTATGATAGCAGCAGACAACTATTTGCTATGTAAAGATATGGTGGAGTCAACGTCACACTCCCTTTTGTCTGTGTTGTTATCGCAGCCTGTCTATAATTTGTTTATGTGCATGCGAGTGAGTTTTATTTGGTTTCTGCCCACTCTGAATGAAGTTACAATGTCACAAAGGTGAAAATTCCCATTATTGTCTATGGAGTCTGGTGGTGAGTGATAGCGATGTTACTGGTTAAACAAGAGGTCTGTCGCTGTGGGAATCATTTCCATAATGTTGTCAGACACTTAATAACATAATAATAACATAACATAATAACAATATGAACCTGTCAGTGGCAAAATCAAGAACTTGTAGTGGACGTACTAATTTGACAGGCACACTAAATAATCTATTGTAGCCTGTTTCACGGCTATTTTCTCTTCTAAATCTGTGAATTAAAGGTTTATTTTGACCAAACCAGCGATTGCGATTGTTAGAATAAACTAACAAAGACAGTTTTTGTGAGTTTTATTTATTTCAGTCCAGTTTAAAGTGTGTTTTACAATCATCTGATAAAATTACTGGTTTTGTTAATGGAGTCTGGTTTCGTGTACATAGCCTTTAAGTTCAAATGGAAGTTATACATGTTTTCTGCGTGCTAAGATAAAAAAGCGACTTAAAATAACGTCATGTGATTCCTAAAGTGATGAGCAGACTTCAGGTCTTCAGGTTATTATTATTTCTTTGTCTCAGAAACGAAATTTGTCACAGATCCAGATCCTGTTGTGAATTGACAGTATTACAACAGAGCAGACTGCTGCCTTCTGGCTATGGGCGGTCAGGGTGTGTGTGTGTGTGTGTGTGTGTGTGTGTTTACTCACATGATCCGACTCAAACAACAGGTTCTTTTCATTGGAGGCTCAGTTGGTCTCGTTAAAACCCTGATGTTTGATCTGAAGTTGCCACAAGCCGGCTGACCACAAAAACCTGAAACATTTCTTCCAGGCTGGAGCTAAAAATACATTCCTGGAATAATCCTGGAATATCATTGAAGTTGAAGCTGTATTCCTGCAGAGGGACAGTCAGGGAATTTGATGAATTCTTTAGGGAAAGTCGTGCATTATTTCGACTTCACTGCTATCACTAATTTGCATCTACAGTTAATACTCTAGTTATGGAAAGTTTTGGAGCAGTTTATAAGAACGGTTTTCATATTCCAGGATGTCTGTATTTCCTGGAAAAGTCATCTGATTACCAAACCAGGGCTGTAGTCAGTAGTTATTTTAATTTTCTTTATTTTTTCAATCTTACAGGGAACTATAATATTTATTATTGCAAAATTAAGGTCTGTAAATTTGAATATTTCAAGGCTGGCGCCAGTTTTAGTTGGAGGAGAAACATGTTTTTCTGTTAAAACCTTGTATTCCAAAGCTCTCAGTGCATCAGTGTTTTAATCATCTTCACACTAACACATGTTCAAACGCACACCAACATAAATACCATCTAAAATGAACTAATTTCCTGATTTACACAAGATAAAATATGATGGAGGAATAAACAGAGCCAATCTGACAGAGCATTCACTGCCAGCTTCTCATACTTGACAGTTTTTAAAACTCTGGGCACATTTCAGTCTGTTCCCTAATAAGTTTAACCATCTGAACCAAGACAAGAAGCCCAGTGCGTGGCTCTCAGGTCAGTGAGAGTCTCTCTGTGACTGTCTGCGTTAGTGGAGCAGACTGATCAGACAGCTGTAGCTCAGAGTTAAACACATACATCTCAGGCATTGAGCTCAGCGTGTTCAGACAAATCCACATACTTCTCCGCTCGTCTGGCAGGTGCAGTCACACATCGCAGCGTAAATGATGACAGGCCGGTTGCGAGTTGTCAGGAGGCTCAATAAATACGATGACACATCCAGCTCACTTTATGAAGGGGTGTGTAGAAACAGAGCCAATCAACAAAGAAATAAATTGGAAGAATTTAACGGCCTTCTGCAACAACACCGAGCAGGAAGTTCTCAACATTATTGAGTTTTATTGTGTAGAAGTTGAGTGGATACATATTGTGATATACTGTAAGACCACATAAAGTATGGTTGGGATTTTGTTTAGTATAAATTGAACCAGGTATGGCTCGTTATTGTTATTATCGGTTAATATCATCTTACTACATATAGGGCGTGTGCTGTAGGTCTGGAGATAAATACGTTCACCCAAAATGTTTTTTTAAATGTTATGTATGTATGTTAAAAAACTCTTATTAGTCAGATTGTTATCAGATTTTCCCTGTCTCTAAATCCAGTATTAATCAGACTGAATAATATGACAATAAAGCTTAGATATTAAGAGTCAAAGCTCACTCTTGACCTTGAAAATAGCAAACTCCATCTGCTATTTTATGAACACTGCCTAAAAAAAGCTATTGTTGTCCTTATTGTTGTCAATATTAACAGGCCCTAAATTCCAAATACACAGTTTCCTACATTTCCCAGTTAATATTATTGCTTGTGCTTACGTGATTGTATCTGTTGCTTATGTGATTTTGTCTGTGTTTATGTGATCTGTGTTTATGTGATGCTATCTGTGTTTATGGTGCTTTCTTTTTGTGCTTCTGGATGTTTCCTTTGAATGTTTCTGATATTCCAGCAACCTGCCAGGGACTGCAGAGGAAAATTAGCCTGCGTGGCTCAATATAGCAGACTTACATAGTGGACCATGTAATGCACGGTTTGTCAGTCTTTTTATTTTTGATCATAGAAAGACGTAGAGCTATAATGATTAGTCCATGAATCAATTAGTGGATCATCAGAAAAATAATCAGTAGCTATTTTGATAATTACTGAATCATTTAGGTCATTTTTCAAGCAAAAATCCCTCAGTTGTGAGGGATTTCTTCTTTATTTGTCATATCTGACAATAAAGTGAATATCTTTAGAGTTTTGGTTTGACAAAACAGTGAATTTGTCTCCTCCTTGATCAGTTTTTCACAATGTTTTGACATTTTATAGACCAACCAATTAACTTTGAGAATTAATTAAGAACAGTGAGAAAGAAAGTGTGGCTCTCCATATAAAAAAAATGGTGAAAGGTTTTCACAGTCTATATCTCAGCAGTGTTAAATCCTTTTAAAAGGTTTTCAAAAACCTTGTAACCTTGTATTCATTTGTTCATTGACTTCCACCAGATATGACTACATTTCTTTCTTTCCTCATCTGGATGAGGTATTCTCCCATCAAGCAAAACCTCTTTGACAACACAATAATCATTTTTGTGATTTGAAACCTATGTTGTAAGATCTCCTGTCATCTAAAACTCTCTTTACCTCCAGCACATTTGTAACGTCCTCTTCATGGACAGCCAACGGTTTTGGGAGTACAGAGTTTGATTGTTATCGTGTACTTTGACTCTTTGACCCTCGTGTTCCTCTCTGGTGTTGTTTAGCCAAAATAAACTTCTTTTAATCTTTCAAAACGGTGAACAGTGGAGAGCAGCCAAAAACTCTGCATCATTGTGCTTTCAGTTTGAAGAATTTAATCTAGCCAAGACCTTCCTGCCTGGTCTTTTTTTTTAATTATTTTTGAAGGAAGGAAGGTCAGAGGTCTGGGAGACTGAGAAACATATTTTAATTATCGTTATTTAACAATGTGCATTCATTTATCTGTGAAGAGGTTCACACAGCTGTAAAGATCTGTTATAATCTGGTTTTATCTTCCCATCTTAAACTGTAAAGCCAATTACTGCACAGCCTCAGTTTCATTGCAAATATCTTGACGTCAAAATCCATTTCAAGGGTGTGATTGCACCTCCAGATGGTTTCTTTGATTGAGTTGTTCAAGTGGAAAAGTTTGCTTTGTTTCGTTTTTCTATTTCATTTCAATCATTCATGTTTTCTACATGTCTACCAGGTGTGCATCACATCTCTTCCTAACAT